TAACACACAAAGAGACCCTGCTTAAAAAAAAAAAAAAAAAAAAAAAAAAAAAAAAAAAATTGTGGATGGACCAGTGATACCACAGCAATGGCCAGTGGTGTGGAGCAGCAAGTTACCTGTACCCCAACCTACACCTACACAAAAATAGAGAATAAATGGTCAACATATTTATATTGTAGAACTAAAACCTTAAACATACAGAGAAGATTGTGAATTTTGTCATCTCTAATCCAGAGTTGGGGCGGGGCTTTGTAAATATGAAACAAGATAGAAACCAAAGGAAAACAACTCTTATAGCCAGCTACATAGTTTCTTGAGCCTGAACCACCCACTAACCACTGCAACTAAACACTCAGAATGATTTGCTATACCTGTGACAATAAGCCCAGCACTGAGAGGCTGAGGCAGGAGGATCACAAGTTCCAGCCCAACCTGTACAACTTATGGACTTCAGAAGATGCTGTCTCAAAAATAAAAAACAAAATAAAAAGGCCTGGGGTTGTAGCAGCTCAGTGCAAAGGTCCTGGATTGAATTCCCATTATTGCAAAGGGGGGGAAAAAAGCCTCTTCCAGTCAATCAGCAAAGGATTCCCTCCAAATCCTTTAAGCAAAGGATTCCTTTGCTTAAACACAAGCAAAGGATCATATGGGCCAGTAATTAAGTGGAAAGATGGCCGATAATGAAAGAAATGAGTATAAAAAATGAGATGTGCTTTTTCAACTGTCAGTGAGATAAAGATGAGAAAGAATGTGAAGAAATACATTCTCACACTTTGGTTTATATGTGGGGAGGGGATTCTTCCTCTGAAAAATCACTTAGCAGCTGGTATCAAATTGGAAATAAAAAATCAAGGGCAGAAGCACACATACGATAGGTTCCTTTCTCACTAATAAGATGAGCTCTGGAAGCTCTATGATGATAGCGCATAGGAATTTCTGCATAATTCTAATGCTTTTACAGGGACTGTCAGCACTTTGATACACAGGAGAAGAAAATGACTTCAAAGCTAGCATCATGTTGGGATGAAAGTAAAGTCAGTCTCTGGGTCAGGTACAGCTGTGTCACTGGTCTGTCATTACTCAGCGGCAAACTCAGCCCCTGTGATTCATGCCCTTAGGACAGGGCTCTGGTGTCACCTCAAAGGCCCCTACACTGTCCGACCTAGGCCTCGGTCCTGTGTCTTTTGGGGAGGGGCTGGCTGTGAGCTTCAGAGTGTCCTTGTCCTGACCCTGTGCTCTAGCCAGGACCTGAACAGTGTTTCACGGTCACAGCATAAGTGCATCAGTCCCTATGCTGTGGTTTTTACCTTTGGGTATGACTATGGATTTTTTTTTTCCATGAACCATCATGCATTTTAGTTGAATTTGCAAAGTGTTTGCACTATATCCTACCTCATGACACCCGTGTGTAGGTACCTGTCAAAGGGGAGAACCTAACCTCTCCCTTGTCTATAGACCCGGAACACGAGGACTCCCCATGGTGCATGCTCATCTGTCCTCCAGTGTCAAGGGCTGTGGGCCACTGACCAGCAGGAGCAAGCCTGAATCTGAGGGGTTAAAGGGGCTTTGCAGGCTGGGTGTGTGTAGGCCTAGCACTGGGTGAGGCAGTTGGTCCTGTGCCTTAGAGACCAGCCTGGATGCACAGAGCTGAAGGGACAGAGTGGTAACAGTTCCAGCGTATGCCAGGAGCCACTTTTTCACTCCTGCATGACTCGCTTATCCAATAACAACCCACCCATCATTTATCAGTAGGGCAATGGGGCCACTCTTCAGCACAGGTGTTGTATTTGCAACAAATGACTGCCCTGTGTCCCCTAAGCCCTGAGGACAAGGATGGGCAGCAGGAGGAAGCTATGAAGTCCCTGCCCAGCTAGGTGGCAAGAGGGGTCCCACCTGTCCGACCATTCCTAGGGTTTCTTGGGTACAGCCCTGGCTGTGGCCACCTTTCCCCTGGACCAGGGCTCCAAAGAGGAATGAGGCAATAGGGACAGAAGGGCTGGCAGCAAACCCTGTCCCTGCCCACAGGGTCACAGGCCTTCCAAAGGAGTGTCACCTCAGTCCCTATATCAGACAGTCAGGGGCAGAATGGACCTCGTGCCCCTGTGAAGTGGGGATGCCAGCACCCCCCGCACACCCTGTAGCACACAGGCTGTCCCATGTGTATGCTCACCAAGCTCCAGCTCCTGCTCCTCCCGAGGAGACAGGTGGCTGAACATTGTGAGGGGCCGATGGAAATTACCACCTCAGGGGGCCAGCATGGGCCCTAGAGTCTCAGGGTGACAGCATCTGGCAGGGACAGATGGCTGTGTCTCTCACCCTGAGCAGAACCAGAGTCAGGCCATTCAGTGATGCCTGTGATCATCCTAAACCTGATCACTACAAGCCTGACCTGCTCATAATCCAGTCACCCCAAGCCCCACCAGTCCTTAAGTCCATTACCCCAAAACAGAACAGCCCAACCTCAGTCACTTCAGGCTTGACTAGCTCCCACCTCAGTCATCCCAAGCTTTACCAGCTGCCATCACTGGGAACCCCAGGCCTAACTAGCTCCCACCTCAGTCACCCTAAGCCTCACCAGCCCTAACCCATCAGTGGAGGTGGCAGGGCAGGGCTGGAAGGTACCTTTGGGATCTGGGTGAAGGGAGAAGGGGGCTGCTGTCTGCCAGCCTTCAAGCTCCCAGCCACCTCTGGGAGCCTGTGGGCAGCACTGATGGCCAGAAGGCCCTGGACCCAGTAAATGGCCAAGTTCCTGCTCAGTGACCTGGGTGAACTCCCAGGACTGTGCTGGTTCTGAGGGTCTCTGCTGCCCTGGCCCTGCCTGCCTGTCCCCTTTGTCATCCAACATGACTCCGCCCAGCACTCTTTCCCCATTAACTCTGAAACCCTGACTGTCCACCCCATCCACACTCAGAGTCAGACAGCAAACCAAGTAAGTGGAGGCTGGGGTTGCATGGGGCAACCAAGTCCAAAGAATAATTTGGCCAGAAAAGGCACATATGAACTGGGAAGCTTCTGGGCAGAGTGAAAAGGAGCCTCCAGATCCTAGCAACCATGCTTCTGCCCCAGATCACTCATTGCAGGGCACACGCTTCCTGTTCTTGTTCTGTCATGGGCCAGTCAAGGCTCTGCCTGGTCATAGCTGCCTAGACGGACTCAGAGACAGGGCTTCGTAGGCCCTTCTGACTCCCTACTGCTCTGTTGGTAAAAGACTACCCCAGCCCCCAGCCTATCCTTCCAGCTCCCCCTGCCACCCCACTGCAGCCAGCTACAGCCCCTCCTTTACCCCAGAGAGACCACAAGACTCCGCTTTAGGTCTGGGGGGAAAGGCATGGGCCCATCCTTCCCACTGCCCAGCATGATCCTCATCTTTCCCTCCCTGTTACCCTCTTAGCTCTTGGCCCTACCCCCTAACCCCACCCCAGTCCCAGCCCTTCTCCTTTTTACCCTGTCCCTGGGCAGCTGCTGTCTGTGCTGTGGGGCAGCCCAGCTGTGTGCAGGCAGCTGCCTTCCTGACTTGCAGCTCAGGTAGGTAGATGACAATGACTCCTATGGGTTCACAGGCTCAGAACTGACCTCCAGGGTAAGCAAAGAGATAAAGAAAAAGACCTGTTATCCACGTGTAAAGGACAAGAGTGAGAGCCAAGAGGAACCAACACAGAAACCCCAAAAGCCTGGCCAGGTGATGCACTCAGATTCCTACCCATGGCACAGCTTCTTGGCTGGGAATCTCCCATCCAGGAATTCAATCTCCAGAAAAAAATTAGAAATTACTAAATATTCACTACTCCAGTATTCTTCCCAGGTTTAAAATAGCCACACATGCTCTAAAAGAAAGAAGAATGAGCAGTTTAAAAACTCACTTTCTCCAGACTACTCGATGACGTGGTGGTTGCTTGGATCCAAAGGGAAAGAAAAGCCATTCAATTCTAATTTAAAATGCAGTTATCTCTGGGCCTTGGGGTTCCAGGCAATCTTGCTTTCTGAATCCTTTTTGAAATTTTCCAATGTGTTCACAGTGGTCATGAGATGCTCTTATCAGGAAGAAAAAAAATGCTTACTTAAAACCAAAAAGGAGGTGAGATTTTTGAGAAGGCTCGGAAAAGGCCGTCACATGCGCTGGATCTAGGAAGGGGCCGCAGCCCAGTGGGGAGCTGGACACAGTCCCTAGGTCATGAGCCTGGTGGCCTTGGGGAGCCTGAACTTGCTGCCTGGCCAGGAGGGGCCACCTGAGGGGAGGCTCAGCCTGAGGGCAGACTTGCTGAGGACTTTGGTCTCTGGTTCC